CAACCAACCAAGCCACCCAGGAGCCCCAACTTATTCCTTTTTTATTGCTGAATAGTAGTCTTTCAAAAATACCCCATAGTTTTTCTCTTCCTCTCTTTTGTTGAAGGACATCTGACAATTTCCAGGTCTGGCATTAAACAAAAAAAAATTTGTTCCAGTCCTGGGACCAGTTTATCCAAACAAAAAGAAGTTTGGGGGACTGGATTTTGTTACTTTTGAGATTCTGCCTTTCACTGATATTGAGGTTTTTCAAGGACCTCCCCTGCTTTATCCCTCTGCAGGAAAATCAGAGTACATACGTGCAACAGGAGAGGAATGAAGTGGGCTACATAGAAGATTCGCACGTTTATTTATTCACACAAGGCATAAAGGCTGAATACAGAAAACAAGTTACTATTCTGTCCAGTCTCACAATCCAATTTTGAAAAGGGTAGTAAATGCTGTAAAGGGTGATAAAAGGGCAGTAACAGTCCCAGCCTATACAGTTTAAAGCATTATCAGGGTCCTGATGATAATTCTTACAAGTATAGCTTATACTTATCAAGTTTTAACTAAATGCTAGACATTGTGCCAATTATTTCATCTAATTCTTACGCTTCCGGTAGGTACATTTATTATCCCAATTTCATGCAGAGCATATAGATGTTCACAAAGTACATAAAGAAGTCCATTAACACTATAGAATAGAAGACACTCAAATGGGTGTAGAGACTCACAGAAACCTAACGGAAACAAAGTGGTTAATTATTATGATTTACTTCATATATATCCATTTGGGTGTCTTCTATGTATAGTGCCATGTGGATTTGTGCAACTAAATAGTATAAATAGCATTGCTACTTTGTCTTTTCATTAGCAGTTTGCAAACTTTTCTTAAACCATGAGCTCTCTCTGTTCATGCTCACTGACTCGGGATGGGTGTAAGGTGTAGCATTTACTTCCCAGGGAATTACAAACCAGCTGGGCAACTGCGGTTTTACAAATAGAGTAATTTAACACCACTCTTGATAACAAAATAGTAAGTACTTAGATATTTTAGATACACTGTCACCAACACTTCTGGCCAAAATTCATGTATAACAAGAAGAATTTCAGTGGGAAAGTGACTGGTTTAAAATTATCTTTGGGGATTCAATAAAAAAATGATTTCTTTTCCCCTTAACACTCTTCTTGGCTTCCTTCCCGCTCTGTCCCTACCCCAAATATCTTTTAGTATTCTTTTCCTTTACTGTGACTGATTATTATTTTATTCACCTATTTAACGAATGGAGCAGAAACGATTCCTTTCCCTGGCAGCAAAGCCCTGAATATGATTTGGAGAAATTTATCCCTAAGAAGCACTGGATGAGCTATGTGGTTTCGATATTTAAAATAGTTTATCCAGGGTCGCCTGGGTGGCTCGGTTGGTTGAGCGTCTGACGTGGCCGGCTCAGGTCATGATCTCACGGTTCGTGAGTTTGAGCCCTGCATCGGACTCTGTCCTGACAGCTTGGAGCCTGGGGCCTGCATTGGATTCTGTGTCTCTCTCCCTCTCTGCCCCTCCCCTGCTCGAGCTGTCTCTCTCTCTCCCTCAAAAATAAGCATTAGAAAAATGAAATAAAATAGTTTATCCAAGTGCTCCTGGCTGACTCAGTCAGTAAAGCATGCAGCTGTTGATCTCAGGGTTGTAAGTTAGAGCCCCACGTTGGGTGTAGAAATTACTTAAAAATAAAATCTTAAAAAAAAAAAAAAAGTTTATCTGGGGCACCTGAGTGGCTCAGTCAGTTAAGCGGTGGGCTCTTGATTTCAACTCAGGTCATGATCTCAAGGTTTGGGAGATCGAGCCCCACATCGGCTCCATGTTGACAGTGTGAGGAGGCCAGTCCTGATTCTCTCTCTCCCTCTCTCTCTGCCCCTCCTCCCCCACACTCGCTCTCTCTCAAAATAAATAAACTTTTAAAAAGTTAAAAAAAAAAGTTTACCCATGGTATTGTGAACAATATAGCTTCCTGTATTAGGTTGTGAGGGCTGCCAAAACAAAGAGCTACACACTGGGTATGTAAACCACAGAAACATATTGTCTCATACTTCTAGAGGCTACAAGTCCAAGATCAAGGTGTTAGCAGCGTTGGTCCCTTCTGAGGCCTCTCTTCTTGACTTCAGGTACTCATCTTCTCTCCATGTTTTCACGTGGTCTTCCTCCTGTGTCTGTGTCCTAATCTCTTAGCAAAGGACACCAGTCTTAGTGGATTAGGGTCCACTCATATGACCTTATTTTATCTTCATTGCCTCTGTAAAAACCCTGTTTCAAATACAGTCACATTCTGAGGGGCTGGAGTTTAGGATTTCAACATATGAATTCTGAGGGAACACAGTTCAGCCCATAACACTTCCTATGTGCAACACAGAGTTGTTAACCTAACAAAATTTGAGAATATTTAGGAAAATGCTGTAAATGCAGTTATATCCTGTGCAAGACGGTGTTTGTTAGGGTTGTTAAATTAACCACATTTCAACTATTTTAAAATCATTTGTGAACTTAAGTTGGTTGTATGGAAAGATGTTAGTGGCTACTATTTCAGAGAGCAAGGCTATGAAAGAATCAGGACATGCTGAAGATCATATCTACAAACAAGTAGTTTAATTTTTTTAAATTCTCTAAATTCAAAAAATGAGAAATCGAATCTAACAATGGGAAATTACAGAGCATATAAGGTGTAGGGTTTGTTGTTAAGTTTAAAATAACTTATGAAGTGCGTGGCAAAAATGGTATTAGAACAGAGTAGACTTGAAATTTGGCATATCCTGCTGTCATCTCTTGCCTATAGAAAAATTAGAATGGGTCATAGAATGAATAAGGAGGACTCACTACGTTTTGGTCACACTTTTATAAGTACAGCATGGTGTTCAAACTTTTACTGTGGGGGGGGGGGGGAGAATTTAAAAGATCCAAAATTGAGAAAAGAACAGATTGTTGGTTATGATCATTCAAGTTGATTCATAAGATACTGACCTTTTAGTAGATAAAACAGGGTCCGATATTGACAATTCTATATGTCAACCTAACATTAAAGAGAAACCAGAGGAGTCAGCCTATGGAAGATGGAAAGATAAGCTCCTAGGAGCCATTATCACAGAAGATTAAAGGACTTTATCTTAAAAGTATTATAGATTCAGGGGCGCCTGGGTGGCCCAGTCAGTTGAGCTCCAGACTTCCTCTCAGGTCACCATCTCGCAGTTCGTGAGCTCGAGCCCCCCGTTGGGCTCTGTGCTAACGAACAGCTCAGACTGCTTCGGATTCTGGGTCTCCCTCTCTCCTCCTCCTCTGCTCATGCTCTGTCTCTCTCTCTCTCTCTCAAAAATAAATAAATGTTCAAAAAAAATTTTAAGTATGATACAATTCATACTTAATATCTCAACCTCAGCATTTCCGGTTTGGTTTAATATCAATAATAATATTGTCATTCCTCCTCACCGCTTCCTTTTTTATACTATTAGCTATGCT